CGCTTTATCTGAATGACTGTCATCAGCAGCTGTGAGGAGCTGCCCTATGCAGAGCTGACGAGCTGGCTGAGCGTGGTTCAGGGGTGACCGACTGCTTGGCCTTCAGTGCCGCAGCCCCATGTCCAATCAGGCTCTAGCGTTGATCACAACAGCTGCTTCGAAGGGGCTGCCAAGTCACCGGGGCAGCTGTGATTAGTGTGTATTTCATTAACGTGCATATTTGAGCTGGCAGCTGTTTGTTAACTCCACCTACCATAAGAGCTGGCCTCACCTGTGGTGGATGAAATGTTGACATCAATGCTAATCTCTGGGGTTCCTCCGTTCCTTAGTGATGCCACACAGGTGTAGGTGCCAAAGTCGGTGAACTTGAGGTCGATGATGTCGAGGTTGGTGGTTCCCGGCGAGACGTCTGTGTCAGTGTGGGTGATGACCATCCGCTCTGAACTCCTCAGAGGCCGCCCGTTCTTCAGCCAGCTGAACTGCAGTTCCTCTGGGGGCGTGGCCTCTACCTGGCAGCTGATCTTCACCTCCCGTCCAATCTGGATATTGTCATCATTGTGGTAAGGGTCAGGTGTGATCCAAAAGCGACCTTTACGGAGACCTACGTGACATAATGGACAAAGAAAGACAAACATTTGGGGACAGAGAAGATGACGTAGAGGACACAAACACTAAAACACATCAGTGTCCTCGACCGAACTTCCAACATATTCAGAGAACAATCCAGTTGTAAGTTGACAAAGATGTCAGTAAAGAAGATGAAGATGCTCAGGTGTTGTGGTTTGATGTGTCTGTGGAGGTGAGGGCTGAGTGTCCGTTTAAATAAGTGCGACTGAAATAAACAACGTGCTTTATCTGAGGGAGCACGAGTCCTTGAACGTCTCCGACAACAAGCGTTCAGCTTTATTCTTCATAAATAATTTTACTCCCAGCAGGACAAAAACAGACCATTCATCTGCCAGGTAAATTTAAAACCAGACATCAAACACGAGTGTGTGAAGAGGAGCTGAAAAGGAGTAACTTTATTACAAGTGTGAGTTAGCTGTCAACTATGTATCCAAATAAAGGTGATATTTGGGGGTATTTATGGGGACAGCCTTAGCGTGGACCAAGATGAATATCAAAAACGATGAACTGCCGAACAGAGTGTCTGACTCAATGAGCCAATCTGAGCCTAGGAGTGAACTGAGAGAGCAGCAGTTCAGCAGCAAGCCGACGGAGGGTCCAACAAGTTTGACATTTACCAGAAACAACCGCTGTTTTGTGGAACTCAGGTCCTTAAATTATTCAAAAGGCTGCAGCATCAACCTGACGGATTTATGAACAGTGTCCAACTCAAAACCTGCAACTGAATTTTTAGGATGACCAGTCAGGTTCTTATTATCTATTGGCATCTGTCACGCGTGCATTTGAACAGAAATGTTAGCTATATTACAAAGTACCCCTCTATATAAAGACTCAGGGGTTGGATGCTTTATGAATATACTTCATCTTTCAGAGCATCCACAGCTTTCCCTGCATGCTCTTGTTTCGTTGGGGTTCAAATTGTATTTAGTAAATCTTTAACCTCCAAAGACCCGAACTCTCCCACAGCAGCATTTTTAATTTCTCTTTGATGTTTGAATATTGGACCCGATGAATCTAAAAACAAAGAGTCACCAGATTTGTTTTTACCCGATTTTTGTTCCTAAGAACAATGAGAGCCACACATTATTCGTTTTAAATTTTGATGGAACAGTGGCAGCATAATGTCCT